AATAAGTGAATTCAGCAAGGTCACAAGTCACAATATACAATATCAATGCACAAAATTAACTATATTTCTATAATATTAATAACAAACATGCAGAAACAGAAATTTAAAACACAGCACTATTTACACTTCCCCCAAGAGTTAGAAATCTGATTTAAAAGGTACAGAATCAATATCTTGAAAATGACAAAATCCAAATTTACAAAATGATAAAACAAAGCAAAGATGACCAAAATAAATTGAGAGACTAATAGTGTTCATGGCTCAGAAGACTCAGCATAGTAAAGATGTCAATTCTTTCTAAATTGATCTACAGATTTAATGTAATTCCTATAAAATGCCAGCAAGACATTTTTTCCAAATGGATAAACTAATTTTAAAATCTATATTTAAAAAGGATGGGACATAAAATAGCTAAAACATCTTAAAAAAGAATAACAAAATTGGAGGAGTCACTCTACTCAAAATTAAGGACTATGTATTCCTACTTTACTCAACACAGTATGGTATTGACAGAGGGATAGATACAAATCAATGGAACAGAAGAGAGAAGTCAAAAACAAACTTTTTACAAATATGCACCACTAATTTTTTTGAGAAAGGAACAAACCAATTCAATGGTAGAGAAATCACTTTTTCAAGATACTAGAACAATTGAATATTCATAGAGAAAAAAATTAAACCTCAAAATAAACCTCTCACCTTATATACTGTGAACTAAAATAAAATCTTAAGCCCCTCAGCCAACTGAATAGAACCCTTTTGGCCAAGGGGACTCTCCCAAAATAAAAATAAACCTTAAGATGAGTTGCTAACCATGAGGAGGAGGGATGGATGTACCTAGTTATTCCCTTTCCCTTTTGGAGTTATTCTTTGCAACAATAAGATACAAAATCATTAACAAGCCAAGGCCTTATAAGACAAAGGTTAAACCACACCTGCAAATCATCAATTTACTTAACAAATCACTTGAGTCTTGGTATATGTCCGGTGGCTTATCCATGATTAGCAGACTACCGTATTTTAACTTAAAACATTCAAAGCCTTTAGATGGAGCTTTATTTCTTTAACCAATTACAAATCAAAGAATCTTTAAACTCACCTGTAACCTGTGATCTCCCTTTTTGAGATACCCTGCCTTTTTGGCCCAAACCAATGTATTCCTTTCACATATTGATTTATGACTTTCCATGTAATTCCTGGCTCCCTAAAATGTATAAAACCAAACTGAAACCCAACCACAGCAAGGCCACTTGCTCAAGTCTTCTTGGGCATGGCTTTCTTGACCATGGCCACACATATTCAGCTCAGAATATTCTCCTTTAAATTATTTTACAGTGCTTGGGTTCTTTCTCTTTGACAATACAAATTAACTCAGAATGGACTGCACACTTAAATGTAAAAGGTAAAAACTGTAAAACTTGTAGGAAAAAAAAAACAGCAGGAGAAAATCTTCAGAACTGAGGAGTAGGCAAAGAATTCTTAGACTTTATAGCAAAAACACTATCCATATTACTTAAAATTTATAAATTGGACTTCCTCAAAATTAAAAAATGTTGCTCTGAAAAAGATTCCATCAAGAGGATGACAAGGCAGGTAGGTACTGGGAGAAGATATTTGCAAACCACATTAGTGACTAAGGAATGTATGCAGGGGGTGCCTCAATAAAGGGAGGAAAACCCTTGAACTCATCAAGTGTGTTCTTGACTTCCTGTAGGAAAGAATTCAAGTGTGAGCCAACCAGCGACAGAAAGTTAAGTATGAGAGAAACAGACAACACTCCACAGACAAAGCAGCTGAGGGCAACTCCTCATGGGGCAATGGTAATGTTTTTGTGTGTTCAGAAACCCTTGTGGGAAACAGCCATATGTGAGCAGCATTGTCTTGATGTCGGGCCATAAAGGTTAATCATAAATTGCTCTCACAGAAAGGAAAAACAGGCATCACATGTACTCACCGACAAATTGTTACTAATTGATCAACACTGATGTACACATATAGTAGTAACATTCCTCGGGTGTTGGGCAGGTGGAAATGGGGAGGAGGGGATGGGTGTATTCACACCTTGAAGCTCTGACTCTGGCAGGGCTAAGGCAATATATGTAACTAAGTATTTGTACCCCTGCAATATTCTAAAATTATATATATATATATATATATTTTAAAGGTAAGCACAGTTTGTAAGGCATCCAGTGTAGTAATTCATCCACCCTTAGGGAGTCCTGTGTGGCACCTTTCTAGTGACTTCCACGCTCAGGGAGGTCAGGGTCTCGTATCAGTCAAAATAGCCGCACTTGCCCCTCTCTTGACCTTCCTTCTATGCCGTACCCTGCATTAGAATTTTATCTAGAGTATATAAAGAACCTCAACACTCCACCAAAAAAATACCAGACATTCAATTAGAAAATGGGTGAAAGACAGAAGAGACATTTCATAACAGGTGATATACAGATTACAAATAAGCACATGAAAAAATATTTGGGAAATGCAAATTAAAGCCACAACGAGCGTTTTCTACATACCGATAAAAATGGCTAAAATAAAATATAGTGATGACACAAAATGTTGGTGAAATGTACAGAAACTGTGTCAATCTCACACTGTTAATTGAATGTAAAATCACACTACATTCACTCTGGAAAACAGTTTGACGGTTTTCTCTCATACTATATGTGCGACTACCACACAGCATGGCAAAGCAATTGATTCTTGGGACATTTATCACAGAGAAATTACAAGCTCACACCAAGACCTATGTACAAATATGTATAACAGTTTTATTCAAAATAGCCCCAAATTTGAAACAACCAGTCTTTCAACCAGTGAATGGTTAAATGAACTCTGGTACATCTATAGCATAGAGTATTAATCAGTAATTAAAAAATTTAAGTATTGTTATATACAACTTGGATGAATTTGAAGGAATTGCACTCAAATTAAAAAAACCAATCTCAAAACATATGTTGATTCCAGTCTTGAGATGGCAAAATTATAAAAATGGGGAATAGATTATTATCATGGGTTAGGGCTGGTGGGCAGAGTTGGATATGTCTATACCATAGAAATATGAGGGCTCTTTTTAGTGATAGGACTTTTTATCTTGAATGTACCAATGTCTATATCCTGACTGTAATATTGTAGTATAGCTGTGCAATATGTAATCTTTGGGGGAAACTTGGTAATGGGTACATAGAATGTCTCTGTATTCTTTCTTACAATTACATCTGAATCTATCTCAATGTAAAGAATGTAATTTTTTTTAAAAGACAATGTGAAAAACAAAACCAAAATATATACTCTCATAGTTGGTAGAATCAATTTTCAACAGTGCTGGTAATTAATTCTCTCTGCTTTTATTTGTCAGAAAAAATTTTTTCTCCTTTGTTTTTTTCTCTGCTTGTTTGTTTGCTTTTTTTGTGTGTGGAAACTAAATATTTCTTTTTTACAGTTTACGAAGTGTTTCATTCATGAAATGTAATGTTTATGTGAGTTTTTCATATTTCAATTTTGATCATTAACAAAACAAATTTAAAAAGAGCTATGATCTATTACAAAAAGGATCTATATTTACCTTTCTAGTAAAGGGTACAATGAGTATACATTGTTGAGTATAATTTCTTTTTTTTCCAAAGATTTTCTTTAATTTTTTAAAAGAGCTTTATAGCTTTGCATTTTACATCTAATTCCATGATTCCCCCTTTTTTTTATTTATTTCAAGAAAATATGAGAATACAAACATTTTGTTTGCATTTTATATCTTTGCCTCTCCCTAGCAAGGGTTAAAGGCATGCCCTTCCTCTCCACATTTCTCCTTTGTTTTTGACATATATTTTTACTGAAAATAGAATGTTGGGTTGACTTTTTGTTTTTTCCTCACTTTAAAGATGTCACTCCAGTTGTCTTCTGGATTATATAGTTTCTGATAACAAACATTGTTTCTTTGTATGAAAGTTTCTTTTCTTTCTCTGAATGCCTTTAAAACATTCTCCTTATCTTTGATTTTGAGGAGCTACTTGAATTTGATGCATCAAAGTATGGTTCTACTGTCATTTTTTTCTGCTTAGGTTCTCTGCACTATTTCAGCAATCTGGGAAATCTGAGCTAACATCATGTTTGGGGAATAAGTCCTTTACTTATCTATAAAAATCGGTTTGTAGAGAAGCACTTCCAAATACCAGAGTAAAAATCTCTAAAAATATTTTATTCCATAAAAACTCCAAGAACAGTGGGAAATGGTCCACGTGGACATTTTTCTGAATTCTTCAAATTAACCTGTTTTAGAACAATCTAGGAGCATTTATTCAAGAAAATTGGCTGGACCTTGGTATGATGAAGAAGATACTGGTAGATGAACTTGCATTATATCCATCCTCATCTTCCTAACTTGGTGGAAGCCTTGAAAATTATCAGCCTCGCAGCCAGGATAACTACGAAAACCACTGGTGGCCACAAAACTGGTTTGGAGCTCTTTTAAAATCCACATCACTAAAAAATTGTATGACAGCTCTCTGTGAAAGTCCAATTTGCAGGACTTGTATTTATTTGACCTGACCAGAATTCACTCAGTGGGAAAGGCACTCTCCATAGGGTGTTTGTTGAAAATAATAAGCAACATTTGTTTAACTTTGAAGTTTTTGGCATCACAGTCGCCTGAAGTGGTGATAACAGTTGGGCAAACAAGAGGCTGGTTTTAAAAAAAATCACTTAAAAGGCAAATCAGTCCACTGAGACTTTGAAAAGCTCACACACGAAAGGCCACGTGCCTGTGCAGGGCTCTGCAGACTGCAGGCTGAGGTGTGAATTTCAGCTGCAATATGAAATGCGGCCTTGCCAGGCCAGCCGTGAGCACCCTGCTTTCACCAGATATGCACCCCGAACCTCAGGAAAGGCTCCCCACCCAGCTACTTCCCTCGTCAGCCGGGCCAGCTGCACCTCACCCAGTCCTCGGCCGGCAGCTTTCACTTCCTAAGCAGCCTGCTAAACTATCCAAACGAGCCACTTACCCCCTCCTGGGGGAAGCGGAGGCCGCCCCCACTCTCCTTGTTGCAAAGCCTGCCTCCCAGAGCCCGCCTGTTGGCTTGTTTCCACGCGCCGCCCTGCGAGGTCCTGCGAGGCCCCGCGTGACCCTGCGCGACCCCGCACAACCCTGCGAGGCCCCACGTGACCCTGCGTGACCCTGCGCGACCCCGCACAACCCTGAGAGGCCCCACGTGACCCTGCGTGACCCTGCGTGACCCCCACAACCCTGCGAGGCCCCACGTGACCCTGCGTGACCCTGCGTGACCCCCACAACCCTGCGAGGCCCCACGTGACCCTGCGTGACCCTGCGAGGCCCCGCTTGGCCCCGCGTGACTTGCGCGGCCCCGCTTGGCCCTGCGAGGTGCCTTTCCTTCGCACTGTGAGTGGCCGGCACTGACACACTGCCGCCCGTCCCATCCGGCCAGTGCTGGCTGCTGCGTTTTCAGGCATCCTGTACTATTTAGGGCGGCGAAGCCCCTCACCACCCGGTGAATGTAAGGTGATGCAGAACACACACGCTCAGGCAAAGACGCAGGAAGGAAGAAATCCCTCCCTTCTGGCTAACCTTGAAGCTCTGCACAAGCACAAAGTGAAGGCTGAGGCAGAGCTGTACATTGACAGAACCTCCCGGCAAAGAGGACACATGGATTCGAGGCATTTAAAGAAATACCTGCCCAGTCATTAGCTGACTATTAAGCTAACCAAGCAGATAATTTGGTGACTAAACATAAATTTGAAAATTAGACTTCACAGAATTAGTCCAGGAAAGTGACCAAACAGTAGCAACAATTACAAACCCTAGAAAAAGAGCTTGATTTGATTCCCAGAGTTGCCACATTACAGTATTTAAAATGTCCAGCTTCTGACCAAAAAATAATAAATAACAAGACATAAAAAGAACAGGAAAGTATGTCCCATACAAAGAGATTGCTAAAAGAAATTATTGTGAGGGAAGCATGGATGTTAGGCATAGAAACAAATAAGAAAATAGGTTAAATTGATTATATCAAAAATCATATTAAATATAAATGGACTAAACGCTCCAAATAAGAGTTATTGATTTTCAGACTGGATAAAATGTTGTAAGTCAAATATGTGCTGCTTAAAGAGACACACATTAAATACAAAGATAAGAGAAGGTTGGAAATGTAAAAATGCTCAAACCAAAAGAATGAAAATAAAAGTAACAAAGGTACAATGGAACACATAGAAGCTACTAATGAGATAATAGATTTTAGTCCAATCATATCAATAATTACACGAAATGTAGGTAGTCTGAAAGCCAATTAAAAGACAGAGACTCTGAGATTGAATTAAAAAATGAGATCCAATTATATGCTATTCACATACAAAAAATCTACTTTATAAAATAAAGTCAGATAGGTGAAAATAAACAGATGTGCCATATAACCACTAAGACACAAAACAGAGATCCCAACCTTTTTGGCACCAGAGACCAGTTTCACGGAAGACAATTTCCTCACAGACAGGGGCTGGATGGGGCGGGAGCAGCACCCCGTGGCGCAGTCACTAATAGGCCACGGGGCAGCAGGGGTCCTCTGCCTGGGGCTGAGAACTATAGTTGATAATATTATACTACACATAGAAAATTTGCAAAGAAAGTAGATTATATGTGCTCTTAGCACCCAAAAAAGGCAACTATGTAAGGTGATGGATATATTAATTTGCTTGAGGGAAATTGTATATGTAGATCAAAACATCATGCTATACATTTTAAATACACATGAATAAATGATTAAATAAATAAAAAGGGGATTATCTCAAAAATGACAGTTTGATTCAACATTTGAAAATTAATGTAATTCACTATATCAACATATTAAAGAATAAAAATTAAATAATCATCAAAATAAATGCATACAATGCATTTAAAAAATTCAATATCCATTTATAATTTAAAAAGAAAAACTGTCAGTAAACTAGAAATTAAAGGTAACTTCTTCAGTCTGGTAAAGAACATCTCCAAATGACATACACCTAATTTGATACTAATGTTGAATGCCTGAATGCTTTCCCCCCAAATTTGGAAATAAGGCAAGAAAGTTCATTCTCATCACTCTTATTTAGCATAACACTGGAGAGTTGGGCCAGTACAATAGGCCAAAATAAACAAATAAAATAAAAAAAAGAAGAAATGAAAGACATGTAAATTAGAAAGTAAAAAAGAAAATAATCTCTTTAGTAGACAACTTAATTGTCTACATAGATGATCCAGGGAATCCACAAAAAAGCTCCCAGAACTAATAAATGTGTTTAACAAGTCCACAGGAAACAAGTTTTATATTAAAAAATAAATTATATTTATATACACAACACAATACACAACAAACAATTGAAAATTAAAATTTTAAAAGCACTATTTAAAATAGTACCAAAAAATCAATACTTAATATATATTTAAATACATGTGCAAAATTCAGATGCTTAAAACTTCAAAACAGTGATGAGAGAAACAAAATAAGACCTAAAGAAACGAAGAGATGAAAAGTATTCAGTGATAAATGAGTCAGTATTTTTAAGATGTCACGTATTTCTACATTTGTCTAAAGATGCAATACAATTCCAATCAAAATCCAGAAGGACATTTTTGTAGAATTTGACAAGCTAATTCTAAAATGTACCATATATGAAAATGCAGAGGAAACAGCACAGCCAAATCAATGTCAGAAAAATTAAAACAAATTAGAGGATTCACATTCTCTAATCTCAAGACTTACAAAGTTACAGTTACCAAGACACTGTGATATCAATGAAAGAATAAACAGACATAAGTAACTGAAACAGAATACAGAGTCTAGAAATAGATACTCACATATATGACCAATTGATTTTTGACAAAGGTACAAAGGCAACCCATAGATAAAGGCTAGTATTTTCAACAAATGGTGTTGAAACAATTGAATATATCCATATGCAAAAGCAGAACACTAACCTGCACCTCATGTCTTATTTAAAAAAGTAAAAATGGATCAAAAACATAAATCTAAAACTTAAAACCATAAAACTCTTAAAAAAAGAGAAAATCTCCATGTCCTTTAGTTAGGCAAAAATTTCTTAGATATGATTAAAAAATGAACAAACAAAAAAAATCCATAAAAGGAAAAACTGAACTTTAGTAGAATTAAAAATGTCTGCTTTACAAACAACACTGTAAATACACCAAAAATTCAAATCATAGACTGGGTTAAAATATTTGAAGGACTTGGATCTAGAATATATCAAGAAAACAAAAGTGCAATAAAAACTGGGTAACAGATTTAAACAGATATGTTATCAAAGAGAACATGTAGATATTAATTAAAACAAGAAAATATGTTCAACATTAGTCATTAGAGAAATTATATTAAAACCGTGAGTAGCACTATATACTTATTAAAGGATTAAACATTTTTAAAAGCATTTTAACTGACTATGCCAAGTGCTGATACAGTTGCAGGGCAACTGGGACCCTCACACGATTTTGGTGGGAATGCAAAATGGTACATTCGCTTTGGAAAACAGTTTGGCAGTTTCTCATATAGTTAAACATATGCTTACCACACAACCTATAATCAAGTCCTAGGCATTTATCCAAGAGAAATAAAAACTTATGTTCACATAAAGTCCTGTACGCATATGTTTATAGTGGTTTTATTCATAATTGGTAAAAACTGAAAACAGCGCAAATGTCCTTCAACAGGTGAATGGATAAGTATCTCATGGAAAACTGCTCAGCAAATTTAAAGGACAAATTGCAGATATATGTACTGATGTGAATGAACTGCAACTGCCTTTTCCTAAACAAAAGAAGCCAGACACAAAAGTCTGCATACTATATGATTCCATTTACGTGATAGTCTGGAAAAGATAAAAATACAGGGACTAAAATTTATCAGTGATTTACAGAATCTGGGGGTCAGGAAGGGTTTACTACAGAGGGGCTCAAGGCACTTAACTGAGTGACAGAAATGCTCCATAGCTTCATTGTGGGAGTGATTACATAATGCTTTGCATTTTCAACTTCATAGGACGAATTTTATTGTGTGTAAATTATATTCAATTGAAGACACCCAACTAGCAGCATCAAATGCTGTGATACGGAACTCTCATACATTCTTCTTGGGAATGTAAGATATTACAGCCCCTTGGAGAAAAGTTTTGACAGTGTATTTTAAAGTTAAACATACATTTATTCTTTAACCAATCATTTATACTCCTGGGTATATATCCAAGGGAAACGGAAATTAAAACTTACACAAAAATGTTTATAGCAGCTATATTCATTAAAGCCAAGAAAATGGAAATAGCTCAAATATCCATAATAGGAAACTGATAAATTAACACGATGGACTACTCTCTTGGGCAACAAAAAGAAAACTGATACAGCATGGATGCATCTCACAGACTTCATGAGTGAAAGAAGCCTGACACAACAGAATACATACTTTATATGTATGTTTATAGGAAATCCTAGAACATTATTTAAAAAAATCAGACAAGTTTTTGCCTTGGGGACTGAGGATTAACTAGAGAAGAATACAGAATATCTTAGCAGTGAGACATAGTGTTCTACATGGTGACAGAGGCGTGAGGTTATGCAGCTCTGTTTTTCAAAATTAAGCAGCTAACATTTGTGCATTTCAAAGTTTATAAATTTCACTTCAAAAAGCATTATAAAATAATAATAACTGGGTGTGCAGTTTGAGAGTGTATAAAACTATAATATAAGAATGGCAGAATGATGCTTATTGTGGAAACCGGGTGATATATATACATGGGTATTCAACAGTAATTCATTATATCATTTTTACTTATTTTGCATATATTTGAGATTTGCTGCAATAAAAATTTAGAAAACTTGTTTAAACTGGACATACTGAAGAACAAGGACAAAAAGAGAAGAGGAAGAAGAGAGGGAGATAAAGGAGAAGAAGGAGAAAGATTATCTTGACTGCTGTAATGAGAATAGAATTTACAGGTGTGAGGGAGGAAAGAGAGCAGAGACACCCCAAGTAATAGAAGACTGAGAACGGATCACTGTATTTAGCCACATGGAAATTACCATGCATCTTAACAAGAGCAGGTTCAAAAAGTGGGGAGAGCAAAACCTAATTGGAGAGAAAAAA